ATGGAGGAATTGGGGAGTTTAATCCTCCGTGATGAGAAGTCAGGAGAAAAAAAAAAAACCGAGCGCACAAAACTGGAGAGAGAGAAGTTTTTTTGGTCTCTTCATTATCTCAACTTGGTTGAGGCAGGTGGAAGGGGGAGGCAGAGAGGGGGGGGGGGGGAACAACCCCTGTTATCTCACACATCAACCTCGATTGCAATCAGAAATCTTCGCCAATCGCCAAACACCATCCAGTTTTTCAGTGACAAGAGCTGTAAGATTCAGACTCGGGCACGAACCCGACATCGGGGACGTCCAACTCAAGTTGAAAAACAAAAAGAAAACCACCTTTGAACACTGCAACAGCCACAGTGTAGAGTTTACACGGTGTGGGATTTTTCTAACACTTGAGGTTCAATACAGACACTGCAGGGTCCTGATTTTACACCGCGGTGTTTTATAGTTATATTATGAAAACGACTAGCGATTTAGACTCGAACGGACCGGACCCAGCGCCGTCGCCAGCTCCGGGCAGGGGGGGGGGGGGGGGGGGGTAGTACCAACTAGGGGGCACACCGCATTAAACAAAAATGCAAAGAAAAAAAGAAGAAAAAAGAAAAAAGGAATGGCTTTTACGATGGGGGGATTTCTCGCGGGGGGGGGGGGGCACTAGTCATCTTCCACATACTTTACCTATACTTTTAGACGAAAATGGGAAGGGGAGGTCAAAGGGCAGGATACAAAAAGTCAATTGGCAAGTTGACTGGCTAATTCTTGCAGAGGATTGCATAATACGATGAAACGTCTAATTTCCTTGTCGATTAAAATGATCTTTTCGCGATGTGCACCATTTTTTTTGCCGAGTCAACTGTCCGTTTGTTCGCATTCAAAAAAGCACAGTTCTACGTCAGTCCAATTGCATGAATAATATTGTCTTCTCCGATTAAGATACATTTGTTTCAGTTATCAATTTATTTCAATTATTAATATTTGTTTGTTTGTTTGTTTGTGACATCTCTCCTCAACAACAACCCTGAAATACACAGGTGAACAACCGATAAACCTTGTCTTTTTCTTTGCCAGACAGAGATGAAAACGAAACATCATAAATTTATTCAACTGTTCGGATGACTCGTTTTCCGCTGATTACACAGCCTGTTGTTTTTTGTTTCATTATATATATTTTTCCACGAGCCCCGTCCTTGGTGAGTTATACAAGGCATGACAGGCGGGCACAGGCGAGCAGTCATGCCGGGCGTGCAGATCATAATCACGGCATGGTCAAGCCGAGACGCGCTGGTTACGTAACGGGCTGGGCAACTTGTTTTGTTGGCCGGTGAACCCAGGGCCATCCCCTTGACTTGTTGAACCCTAGGCGGGGTAAAACGTGTCTGCGGCCCGCCTGCATAGTTGCAGCCGGCCGGCCCGGTGACTAGAACTGCAATCCGTCAACTTCAACGGAGGATATAATATACAGTTGGCCCATCACGTCAGGATGAGTAAAAAAAGAAGAAGTTGGGTTTCCAATCTGTACTGGACTTTGAGCTTGTATTTTTGAGAAATATTTTATATTGGAATTTGGATCTGAAAGCCGCTGTATAGTTTACAATGGAATAAGGGATTTTTTTTTCAAAATGGAGATGGCTTCGTGACCATTTTTGAGGGGTGATCGTCTTTGAACAGCCAGTTTTGTAAACTAGGCTCTTCGAATATTACAAACCCTCATTTAATATTTAAATGAAAGAAAATATAACCTACCCGACAACGGGCAGACAGTAGACAGAATGGTCAAGGTATTTTGATTAACACGAAATATTGACCAAGATATTGGCCTCAAACTTACAGTTTTCAATACCAATAAAATCCATCTTAGATACATTCGAAGACGTCTGTGCGCTCTGACTGAGATCGCACCCGCGCATCTCCGCGTTGAGCAAGATGCGGCGGATCTCGTAAGTAGGACACGCAAAGATAAAAGCTTTGGCGGTCTTCGTCCTCCAACAAAAATGTCACTTATTCGATTACAAGTTGTTGCTTTTAGTGCCTGGCTGTGCTCCCCCCCCCCCCCCCCAGCTTGACACTATAGCTGTGTTCCAGAATCAGGATTGCACGTGACAGGAGAAAAAGGAAGGGCTGGGCACGCGTGTTGCGGACAAGCATGGTGACCGTTTTAGCCGATTTTCGGCTAACTTTGACAGATTTATTTTTAAAAACGGGTTTGACAGAAAATTTGACAGAATGGGATTTTTTGGCAGATTTCTGGCAGAATTCTGTAGAAATTGGTTATTTGACAGAAAAACAGCAAATTTGAAAAAAAAATGGTACATTTTGTTAAAAAAAAACACCTTTTATATTTTCTATCAAACCCTTGCATAATGGGACAGGTTGGCTGGTCTAGGTGCTGAGGTTCACTGCGAAACGGATTTTGTCGTGACGCAACCGCGTTTTGTTTGAAATTAATTTACGCAATTTCACAACATCTTTATGTGACTATAGATAGTTTCTCATGTTATTTGAACCTTTATTAAGGCAATACTACAACATCTGCATGTGATTTTACGTTTTTTAAGTGTATTTCGAGTAATTCTGGAGAATTTGGCAGATTGTTGATAAATCTGATAGATTTTTGAAGTGCATTTAGCAGAATTTGGACACGACCTTACGGTCACCCTGCGGACAAGCTAGCTCTTTCACAATATCACTTGATATTCAGTGATGGATGACACAATTTTTTGAAGATATGGTAGTGGTATAAATTTGTAATGAAATTTTATTTCATTGCTTTCATTTCTACTCGCAAGTTCCACAAATGAAGAGTTTACCTCGCTTTCAATTTATTACGGCCGATTCATGAATAAAGACCTATGGCCTTAATGAAACCTCACAATTTCTTGGCCTCCTAATACAAATACACAACTCGGCTTAAATTCATGACAAAGGAACAGGGGTAAGTTATTGTTCTCATATTAACCAATGTGAAATACACGGACAATCAGGAGTTAGCCTAATTCACAACTCCGCTTCATAGGAGAAAAAAAATAAGAATGTAGGCCTACGGGGACTCTTAATAACATTTTTACATTTTTTTTTGGGGGGGGGCATTTTGTCCCCCAAACAGCCTTTCTTATTTATTATCTAACGACGAATTGGTAAGTTGGTAAAAATTGAACCTAGGCGAAGGCCGGTCCCCACTACGTTCATGCATGTACCCCACCTCCTTTAGAAAATGACTAATTTTGAGTGGCATTTCATAATCTGAAAATTTCTGTATTACTTTCACCAGTCATTCATCCCCGGGCGCTGATGAAAAACCAGGCACCGAAGGACGAAATAGATGAGGCGAATCGCAACGGGGCGTGAGCGCACGTTCCGCGTCAAACGCCCCGCCGCCGAACGGTTAGAATTCCGCTTGCTTATTGTGTGAGGATGTCCCTGCTTCTAGTGTGAACATTGTATCACTATCAACGGGTCGTGTTCCGCATCGATGAAAGGACGTGACGGGAAGAACCCCCTCCCCCCACCCCCCCCCCCCCCCCCCCCCCACCCCCGACAACAACGATGGGCTGGCGTACCATCAGGATTAATAGAAATAAAATTGTTATCAGTTCAATTTCAACTGTATTAAGCATTTAAACACAATCTTGTTGTCACTAAAACATGTTTATTCGTTTAGAAGCTAACTTGTATCCGTGTTCAATTAATCCTATTTTAATGTTCACTTGCTAAACACTAGCAATCCTTACTCTAAAACATGTTTATTATTTAAACATTTTTACAAACTGATAGCAAGAAAGGGTACAGAAAGTGCTAAAATGCAATTTTTTTTAGTGTTGTTTCATGTCAAGGAAGCGGGGATATACTCCAATCTGATTGGCCGAATCGGCTCCAGAAGACAACCAAGTTATTCTCAATCCTCCAATACTATAAACAGGCGTACAGTGATACCGCCCCCAATGTTCATATTCTGCCAATAGTGTGACTAGTTACTTTGCTTTTCTCGTATTTTCCAAAGCCCAAGTCCTTCACTGGGCCAGTGAACCTGTCGCTACCCTAATCCTCCCTTAGGGAATGCGGTCGAGGATTTTGGATTATCGGCTACCATGACTAATTACCAACCCGACCTGAAATGTAGCAAACTCACGCAGACATCTTACTGACCAAACTAATTACACGTGGCACCTATATAGGTTCATCGGGAATAGCTCAATTACACGTTATTAGCACCTGAAGAGGACAGAGTCAGGATCGTGTGCAAAAAATAATAATCTCCCATGATGAATCAACATAATCTGAACGGACGCTCGTTGATTTAGGCTCCTATTTAATCTCATATTATTGGAAGGTGACCTTTCCTGCCCTGTTAAACGATGACAGTGTTAAGCAAACAGAAACAAACAATTTCAACATCATCAAAAGCAACGGAAGACTGACGAAAGGATGCATTAATTCAGCGAAAGACACAGAGTTAAACACACACAAAAACTCAAACTCGTTAAGTCCGACTCTTGTTCAAATAACTTCCTCTAGGATAATAATAAATAAATCTAGGCCAATTAGAAATCGGGCCGGTTATAGTTTGGATAATAAAGAATAATCAGCGCAAGGATTTTACCTTGATCGCCAACAAATACCTGGCTTTATATTTACACAAACGTGACAATAAATACCATAAAACTCGTCCCTGATCCGAAGCTATTCATTCAAAAATTAGGTGACGTCCTTCAGCATTCTATGCACAGCACGCGGTACGGAGTTGCTGCTCGTAACGGCGGCGCGGAACAGCGCCCTCATCGTCAAAGCGGCTAAAATTAGCACTCTGAGCTGTATTTGCACGGATTCCATTTTCTTTAGTGAATTGAACGCAATATGCACGCTCGACAAATGATGGTAATCGTATAGGACGCCCTCATTTGCCCACAAGAAAGCAATAGTGCCATAAATATTCAACGTAAAAACAAGTTTGGTGGCGCTCTCGACAATCGTTAAGATAATCATTCATTGAGAAGCAGAGAGGAACTTACCTTGACAGGGCCGATGCTTTTATTCCGACCGCCTGGCATGCCGTCTTCCCGAATGGCTGCAGAATTAAAAAAGAAAAAGAAAAGGAATCTATGATAAAAATAAAATGTATCCTTCTTTCATAAAAATGGTCGGATATCCTGAACGATGGGAGCGTTGGGAAAATACTCACGGAGTTTTTTTTGTGTTTTTTCAATGCACAACGTTAATTACAACACCCCCGATTTGAAAACTCAGCGGGTAGCGATAATCACGTCGGCGGGAGTTTTTTTTCTACATGAAAGTCTACTATCCATTCTTCACGTACATATAAACCACTACGTTGATAAATGCCAGCCTCATTTTTTTCATGACTGTATCAGGTAATACATGTACAACAATCGCCAGACACAAAGACAAAGGCTGTTTCGATAAAAAAAAAAAAAAAAACAACAACAACATGTATACCCGCATGGGGGTCTACCCGATGTTCCCCAATACCGATATTCCCCAAAATCCTTAGGGTTAGGGTTAAGGTTGGGAACATATATGTATTGGGGAACATATAGGTATGCACTCCAGAGCATGTACGGTTCCGATCCAACAGTAAGTAGTCCACAAATTTGCTCACCTTTCCTGTTCATGCCGACCTGCAGACACTTGAGCAGCCGGCAGTACTGACACCTGTTGCGCTTCTGGCGAGACATCATGCAGTTCTTTTCCCGCAAACACCGGTAGACTCGCCGGTTGCACACGCTGCGCTTGAAGAAACCCTTGCAGCCCTCGCAGGACACGATGCCGTAGTGGAGACCCGTGGCACGGTCGCCGCAGATGAGGCAAGTCTTCATCTCCTCCGTGGGGGAGGCGAAGGGGGTCCGGGGAGAGTACTCATAGCCGTTGGGTCCTGCTGATACAAAGTGAACAAAAAATAAGGATCAGTCGGGTAATTTTTCAGAGAGTTATTTCAATAAAGCGAGGAACAAGATCATGATCAACGTCCGATGGAGAGTTTGTTCTCTTCTAACCCTAACTCCCCATAGGTATTTTTGCTAGGATGTAACCTCAGTCCTGAAAAATCCTCCAATTGCCTCCATGTAAAAATAGCAAACAGCCTCAATCTTCCAAAATCCTCCTTTATTTCTTGAATGTTGTCCTTGGAGGGGTGACCACTGCCTCAATCCTGCAAAATCCTTCAGCAATTACTGTCAATATGTTGAGGCAGAGCCAGTGAAATCCTGGAGCAGTGCGGATGATTTCAAGTATAATATAGGCCTTTAAATTCATGCATGACTGAGCATAAACAACACAAGGTCCGGCCCAAGACCTTGACACGGTGGAGCCACACATTTTGCCATATAGCCTAGATCCTGCACAATTCTCCATTTGGGGGTGCGATACAAAATGGCTCCATGTACACTCTTTACGGTCCTCAACCTTTGCTGTGGTCTTATTTCCAATCATTTCAGTTGATAGCTGCAGCAATAGCCACGACCAGGCAGCTTTTTGGAAGAAATTTAGCGTCACGCATTCTGTCCTCCAAACAGTGTACTATATGGATGATGCCTCAAATGCCTCATGGCGGAAGGCTTCAACGCTCCACCAGTCTCGCAAAGCGAGTGATCCCGATTGGTTTAGGGATTTCACTCGAACTTGAAGTTCTAACTTGCCCATCGGTAATGGCGGGTAAGTTAAGACGGAAAACCACACAGCAATGGAGGGAATGGCTTATGGAAAATCAGTAGGCCGAGAGGATTCCACACTGGGCAAATCATTGAATACAAGCACGACACGGAGGCGATTTCTGATCCACTAAGACACGAACTACATGTATCTTAAAAAAAAAACGAAGCAAAATATTTGCGTACCAACTAACTTGGCAGCCAGAAGGTATTCTGTTATTGATACAAGCGTTCAAATTACCACATATCACAAGGGGCGCACATAGTACGACAGCGAGCAATGCCATAATTGTATGCAACACCATAACATTTAAACGTCAACAATAGGCGACACAGACCATGACTAGAAACGAAATTGAAAAGACTGAATTGATCACTGCATCACTTTATTCACTGCATGGATATTTAAGCAAATCATATAATGGCAGCTACAAGTTCAAGTTATCATCCATGCGAAGCGGTGCGGGAAATGTACTGCTAGTTCAGAATTTTCACAAAGAGATTTTGCGGTTTTTTGGGGGGCTGATTTTTGCACATGCTCTGATGTAATATAACATTGTGATAGGCCTAGTTGTATGCACACTTGTAGACAATGTTCAAAGCGTTGTCACCAATGAGAAAAACATCCCGAAACGTTTTGTTTTGTCTCCCCCTCCCCCCCCCCCCATAAAAAGGAGTCTGTTTTTATGACTCATGTACTGATGATCGCTATACACAGAGCGAACCGCATCAAAATTATTAACAGCGCCCTCCTGCGAGGAATGTCAACATTTCCAGCCACGATACGACAAAAGGGGGCGCTGTAACACAAGTCTACTGACGGCGAGTCCTGTAGACCATGAAAAAAAATATTTCGTTTGTCAGAAAATACAACGGGTCCTAAAGGAACGATCACTTCGTGTCGAGTTGTTACGTAAGTTGCGCCGATGCCATGACAACACGGGATGGCAGATGATCCGTCTAAATTAAATTTGAAAATGTAGCAACAAAGCTGCAGGAGTTTCCATGGAAACCATTTAAGATCCAAAGAGATCCAAACAGCCTTTAAAATCCTTAATATAAACTTGAACACTTCGTTATCGTCTGCTGTTTTAACTCCTTTTTTCTCCGAAAGGGCCTACCTGTGTATTTTTAGGAACAGTGGTTTTCGTTACCGGAAATTAAATGTTTTTTTATTTGAGAACATTGTCGGAGAGCAGAACACAGAAGCTGAAACATGGATGCAGTTAAGCAAAACCAAACCCTGAAGTAATGCCTTTTAATACAACTGTTAAATACAACTGAATTACAATTAACATATATTTAGGAAAATTAAGAAGATAACGAGATTAATAAATTCACTGAGATAATACAAGTATATACTCGCGTCTTGGTGGGTTTTTTTAAATTAATGTCTGCCAATATGGTCAATTTCCATATGTCAATTTCCATAAATGCCAGTTCATGGAAACCCTACCAGCAATTCTTTGGCTTCATCAGTACGTCCACATTAATATGCACAATTATGTAACTAAATTGCAAACATTGCCTGTATACCAGCAGGACAAAAATAGAATAGGTGACATTACGTTTTAATCATTGTTATCCAACGCTTTGACCAGTTTTATTGAGGCGTCAAGTGAACTTGTGTGGCTCAAAAACAGGAAATTATGTTCCGAGAAAAAAATTGCATGAATCGGTCTGTACCACTTTAGACTTCCATATGTTCATTGCATGTTCCGGCCGTACAAGTTGCACGCTTCAGTTTTTGGTATACAGTGTCAAATTCTGAATCCATTTTTATTATTAAACATCAGACACCGTCTTCGTTATTCTTTCGTTTTTATTACTGTTCCTTGATTCTGTTGATATTAAATACTTGGAGACTATTCCTTTTTATTCAAAACGGAGCATCTTATGTATGACTATATGTCACTCAAGATTCGTTTTCAAACTTGTCAACTCGTTTTGCAAATGGCCGATCCGCAGTATAGGAGAAACACACAGCATATGTTACTCACAAGTGCAGTTTCGAAGGTCGCCAATGGCTATAAAAAGATGTACATGTATATATTTCATCTTAAACCGGATGTGATACCAATTTACACTGTGTAAGGTGTATGGTATACCGTGCGAAAAACATGATGGCCAGTTTCCTTTTTAAAGTACATATCGCATTGTAATGAGCAAAAGACACATTAAGTCAACAACTTTGCTCATTGGCGTGAGTAAATGATAGAACAGTTCTGAGCAGTTTCATTTTGCATTAAATTAAAAAACGACGATTTGAAATAAATTAGCAACTGCCGCGAGTTACTCTGGCGCATTGTATGCTATTGGATTCTGTGAGAAAACAATCAACCATATTGAACATTGAAGAAGTCAAAAGATTCGTACGGAGCATACTTTGCAAACATGCCTCGGCATGGGGTTGTGGTTGGTGTTTTTTTTTTTTGCAAAAGCCGCACCCAATTTTCTTCCCCCTTGATAACCCCTGGGCCTCTGGCCCGATGTCCACTCATTTGAATGATATTAGCCGCAGTGACCTTCAGTTCTGATAAATGATAGCCTCCCCAGCCTCCCGCTAGCACTGCCATTCACTTGATTTTTTTTCCTTCTTCCTCAGACAATGGCTGGTTTTAATTCACAGTCAAAGCGGGCAAGCTATGGTCAACGGCTCTCTGGTCAGTGTGCCATCAGGAACTCAACTCATGATCCCTTCGGCTGGACCAATGGGGAAGAGGTCAAAGGTTATGTTTTTATTCTCAGAACCATGGTTTTCTCAAACCTGTCGAATTCATAAAAGCATGGAGGAAGTGCTGAGCAAATCAAAGGCCCCGTACCATTTCTACGGAAATAGACCTAGCTTCTGCGTATACAACAGATGCCCTGGCTGCTATAGCAGCCATCTTAGAGGGCATCTGTTGTCATTTTCATTCAGTAACAATGAGTGCACAAAGGCTTCACTCATGCATAACCAGCAAAACAAAGTCATTCATTGCAATTGGCTGCTAAGCATATATAGGGTATCTGGAGGAAGAAATTAAAAAAAATAGCCATTTCTAAAATCACGGCTCAGTGTCCGTTCGGTTCTTGTTTCAGGAACCATTTTGAAGCCTTTAATGTTCGGCCCGAATGCAAAACTGGAGAAGAAGCCGATGTGTCCCAAAAATGGCAGCAAACTGGTTGATAGTACCCTGATGATTGCAGGGGCCTATTATGTAATATGTTTCTTTAGGCCGAAAATCGTAACTACGACTATATAATCAGTTGACTTAATGTTGCAAAACATATACCAAACAACTCTAGGGCAAACACAGTATTTCATAAATATTATTTAAATTGACCGTTTATCAGCAAAATAGGGTTGGATCCTTGGAGGTATAGATATTTCAAATCTCTTTTTACAAGGGAAGGGAAAACAGAGAATTATTGCATCAAAAGCCCCCACTCGGTAACCCAGTTGACGACTGTCCATATCGCTCGAGCCTATAGTATTAAATACGAGTTTATACAAAAAAAGTCACAAGGAAATCGTCTTAAGGTGGCACATTACATTTCCTTATAAAACTTAAAAGGACTCGACATATACGCATACACCAGCATTTTGACAAAATGACAACGAACAAAATCACTATAGGTGACGACATTGGAAGGCCATACCCAGGGAAGTAAACTGGAAAAAGGTGAGAAGACACCCTGAGAAGACGCCAACGCCTCAAACGTTACAAAGACGGCCCAAAGATGGTAACTAAACAGACAACAAAACATCTCCTCGGTCGTTTCACCATTAAATTGCCTAATTCTCAACCAAGGCCATCCACATATCTCGCCGTAGTTGAATAGCTAAAGAATGCACGAATAAGAGCATTATTATAACTTCCTCTTTCACTACTCCAAAACCAGACTTGACAAAATCTTCACTTTATTACCCAAAGAGTGGTGCGTTCATTCAACAAAGCCTTATAATCGTGAATCATAAACTGGTTTGGGGTAGATCAATGGACGGAGTAGAAAGGAAACGTGGTCCATATCTATTTCCACGGTCTCATAGATCCGATAAATATAACTTCACTAGTATAGGCCGATATTGCATAACTTCCGAAAGTTGTTGTCTTCTAGTTTGGGGTGGCAAGGGTAAGGTGAGATGGCTTAATGATTACGATTCCTTCGGGTGAAATACTGGCTGACTTGATTGCGAACACATGATGAGCATGCCTCATCGTCCAGATGGCGTTCAAGGACGAAA